ACGTTACATCTTCCACGTTGCTCTCGGCTTCAACCTCACAGAGGTGGGCACGCATGGAATGGAAGAACTTTTGACGAACGTTAGATGGGGTACACGGGTCCGGTTCTGAACTTCCTTATTTCGACCAGCCAACCAACCAACCAACCGATATTGTCCGAAAATTGACAAATCCTAAATTAAATATCTTTTCCATTTGGAAATATATGATCTCTAAGCATGTTACGGTCACGATCGGCTGTGACGTTAGTCACTCGTTGGAGATGCATTAATTTTTCCATTATTTTTTGAGCCTCAAATACCGGAGTAAATCTGCTTCGGGGGAAAGATGATTTTTCGTTAAACATGGTCATCTTCAACCAAGTGAACTTCTACCGATTGAACGAAGCGAAATCGTATCGAATGGTCACGAGGTTTCAGTTCTTGGACATGGCCTTTATATAGAGATCTTTGTATCACGTATGCAAGTTTTTTTGTTCTACAACGAACCGGTTTGATGAGCTCGCTGCCCAAATTTATCCACAAACTGCCATCCAGCTGAATTATTTCGGCGAAATTTCGTTTGTAATGTTCTTCCAGCTGCGAATGTGCAACTGACAGCTCATGGGAAAGTGCACGTGTAGCTGATTAAATATTTTTTTAGTTAACTACAACAATGAAGACCGGATATATCCCAAGTCTTACAGCGTCAACGGAAAATTATCGCTCAAAACTACCACTGAGCACGATCATTTTAGTACTAGGATAGGATATTTCACCATAACAAAGTAGAAGGGTTCAAGAGTTTTCACGCGTCAAAGCATGCGGCAACTAAAATCCGAAAATTTCCCGCTACTGTCAGGTCTTTATCCGGTCAAGGACTGTTACTCCCGCAGAATTCCCCAAAACCTACTTTGAGGAATTTTTTTGCGGCGACAACAACAATTTCAGGTGCTAGCCCAGTGCTCGCTGAGTTGGTTAAGAGAAGACCACAAATTGATAATGTAGCGCCGATTCCGCTAATCCGTCAATAAAAGATCTTATCCCAGATTTGTTTGGTAATGTGCGCTGGGAAGTGTTTAAGTTCTCAACTAAAACCCAAAATATGTGGTGAAAATAGTTTTCTTGCAGCCACCTATGAAGTGTGGTGGTATGAAAAAAAAATTTTACCAAACCGTCTCTAAACGGCTAATGGATTTTTCTGAGCAGCTTTCTTTTTCATGTCAGAAACGCGTTCGAAGGAACTGACATTCCCTGCCGAGCAGCGACCTCAGTCAGAAAATTAACTCAGTTAAAGCGACCGCTAAGAGCCCGAGGAGGCTTAACATGGAATCAGCACAGCCATTACTCCGGCTTTGGATGGTATGACAAGGAAAATTTACATTTTCAACGAGCTTCTATAAGATCCCGAATAGTCTTCTAATTCTTCTTCAAATTTATTTAATTTAGAAATTAAAAAAAAAAAAAATTACAACAAGTACATACATACATACATATATTGCACATGAATTTAATTTTTAAATCTCAACCATGTTTATTAGCACACGTGTAAGTCTGCAGTACTTTATTTACACACTGTCACTGTGTGCTTTAGTTAATAGATCATACATACTTACATATTTACACATACGTACAAACGTGTCATTAATAACATTGTTTACATGTGAAATGTTCAATATCCATTTGAAGCGCTTCCGCCTTCCGTTGACAGCTTTATGATGATATACCGCTATTTACACTCATACAATCATACATACACATTTACGAGATGAGTATATGGATGGTTATGTAATGGTTGAAGTATTGTAATTTGATTTTCGTTAAAAATGTAATGTCAACGATTAAACTTTTCAGAAACAATTACCCTCTCAGGGATCGCATGAGTGATGGGTATGGTGCTGGGTATAGCGACAACCGTCGCATGTCTATGGGAAATTTGCTTTCCATGTATTTCACTTCTGTTTGAATTTGTGCGCGCTTGCACTTAATAGAGCTGACACGCAGGGCAAATAACAATTTAACCTCATTTAATGAGATGAACAAGTTGAAGTGAAGTTGATATTTTGTTGATGAGCCACAATGAGTGGACTAGTATTTAGATTACTCCGGTCTAAGTTTTAGATTCTAGTTCTAGGAGTGCAACTCTAACTAAAAATTTCAACGAAACTTCTTCTTCTTTGGCATAGGTACTGCTTAAGCGATGATAGCCAGACTGTCATAAGATGTTTAACTGTTCGGCGCCAATTGGAGACACCGAGTGAAGTCACGTTCTTCTCCACATGATCCTTCCAAAGAAATGGAAGTAGTCTTTTTCCTCTACTTTCGCTTTGTATACTAGAATAGTCTAAGTCATCGAGGTCATCTAATGGGAAGTCCAGGAAGCGAGCTACTTTCACGGATTCGGACCGGAGAAAAAGGTGGTTAGAATAGTTGTTTTAACGGGGCATGCAAAGGTGTGGTTAGTATTGTGTGAAGGCTCATTTCATGCAAGACAAACATTAGATATATCACGATCAAGTCTTGGTAAGTAGTTAAACGAAACTCTCAAGGCAACTCGAGTTCTTCGTCTACAATAGGTAGTGGCTTGACTCCGAAAACGCCTTTCACTGGAAGAGAGTTCATGAAGGTGTTGGCGTACTCTCGGTGAAAGTTGCTTAATGCTGGTCGATAAGCAATTCTTTCCACCGGTTGTTGTAAGTGATGCAGTCCTTAAGGTCGAGTCATCCTTTCCCACTCTTTATTCCTTGTACTATGCTAATGCCGCCAAATAACTTAAACGCCTTATCGTTTCGTCGTCTGCGGTATTCACTGTTGTCATAGCGCAAAATACAAATAATCCTTCAAAAAAACCCCTCTGCCGAAAACTCTAGTACCGACTGCACTATATAGCAGGACGGTAAAGATGAATGACTTGTAGATTTTATTTTATGCTCCTCGGTTAATAAGGTGACTCCACTTCTCAATTACCTACCATAATAGCATTTGCCGGTAAAAGTGATTCTGCGTTGGATTAAAACTGAATAGACGAAATTTGTTTACGACTTCAATGTAGTGAATTTCAACAGTACGTCACTGGGGGGCAAGGCGCGAGTGAGTTGACCACAATTTCATCTTGTTCTCATTCACTATAGGTCACACAAACGGCTCAGACAGAGAGAGATTATTCCTTTTCAGTGAGTTTCAGATAGTGGGCTACGCCAGTTTACATAGCCGTTTTTAGGAATCGAAATTCATTCATAAAGGCAGCTCTCTTTCGCGCTGTAGAGGGCAGTATTTTCCGAAAATTCTGACGCTTCGGAGATAGCTGGTAAATGGAGGATTTATCACAGCTAAGGCCACACTGGCTTCTCTCTTTTTTGTCTGCAAATACGTCTTGCTTTCACCTTCAGCTCTCGGCTGTATACTGTCACAGCCACAAAATAGTGATCCGAGTGTATAGGAATATACGCACTTCTAAATCGCAGCAAACATGTCTTCATGAATTTTCTAATATTACTGACAATCATACTTCAAACGCCTGCGAGTTCAATCTGCCGTGGGTCATTTGGGAATGCTTTGTCATGGAGTCCAGCTGTTTGTTGAAAATATCTGCTTTGTCCAAGCCGGCATTGAAATTGTCAGACATGCAAGCGCTTAGCATCTTTAGCCACATCATTCTTCTCTCGCTTATGTATGGGCGGAATGATGGCTACGTCGATAAGCAACACTGTCTCACTTGGGACTCGGAAGAGCCAAGATTTATTGTTGGCAAGCCTCACCTTCCTTCAACGTGTAACTCTTTGGTGAGGCTTATGGTCCGGCGGGGTTGTTCGGGCTTACTCTTTCGAAAATGAGGCTGGAGTAAGTTACGGTGAGTGGATTGCGCTATGGAGAGATGATTAATTATGGCGCTACATGCCACACAAGTAACGAAATCATCGATTTTTAAGGAAAAACTATACTAACCATGGTTTCACTCGAAGAGGTGATCGCAAACGACCACGGAGATCTTTTGATTTAACACCGCGAATTCTTTCTTTAGGGTCACGCGAAAGATGAGGTCTGCGCCAACAAGGCAACGTTGATTCAAAACCTCAAAGGTGAATTTCGTGTAGCTATTGAGAGCATACAGCAGCCACTTTGCGATTTGATGTTGGAAATCTTATTTTAAAGGGTGCGGTACTGTAAGCGTAGCCGCAGCTGATATTGATATGTGTTAAAGGCATGAAATAAACATCGGATCATTTATCTCAAAAACTCCATCTAATTTTTTTTTTTTTTTTGAAATATCAAAATAACACCTCATGTCGGAAAACCTTGTATATTTGTCAGCTCGAAAAGCACTAGAGCAAAAGATAAAGCATTTCTTTGTCACATTTCAGACGACTCAAACGACGAAGGAAGGAAAATCACTAAATGATTGACCTCTCCCTTGGAATATGCCGTCCATTTGAGGCCGCTGCCTCGTTTGTCATAATATCTTGAACTAATATTAATACCATACATACATATGTTTGTATGTATTTCAAATCAATTTTTAAACAAACTGAATAAATATTTGAGGATGCATACAATGCGATCTTTAATCTGTGGAATATTTTTAGAATTGAAATGAGCAAATTTCAAGTTTGTTTACTCAAAGAATGAATTTAGCAAACTTTCAGACAGACGTACATACATACATACATATGCCCCAGAAATAGTTACAAAGAAATCAATGCAAATAATTCAGTGACTATTTTTAACATTTTCATGGCGCCCGCTGAAACTATACATATGTACATATATACGTATGAATATATATACATACGTGCATGCATATATACATGCTATTAGTAATTTAAACATATTACAAACGTCTTCATTAAATGTCAACGTTTAGTCTGCAAGCGCAAAAAAATTATCACATTCTCAATTAAATTTGCAAATAAATTTTGAAAATATGAGCACACACTTTTTTATTTTACCAAACAATTTTCACATACCAGTATTTACAACAGCAATAACGCTCAAAAAACAAACTACTTTTTTCCATTTTATTACAGTTTTTACATTGACGTTTGCCAAAGATTTCGCCTACAATGGAGCTATGGGTGAGTAATTTTGAGAAATAATCCATATTTGTTACTTACACAAATACATACAAATGTTATGTGTAAAAAGTTCGTTCGGTTTTTATCTAAGAGATGGCGTTATTGTCCATGGTGCAAGTGTTACGTGTCGCAGCATGTCAGGCTAAACGGCGCTGAAAACGTGTTTATTCGCGCTAAAAGTTTGTCTTTGACAGTTTTTCGATTGATTAACTCAGTACGTTGTGAGCGCTTGTCAAAGATGGACACCAGGAAAGAGAAAATTCGCTAAATTTTAAAATTTTTCTTCGATCAAAACGAAATGCAGCCAAAGCTGCTAAAAAAATTAGTTTATTTTATGGGCCCTATACTGTAAACGAACGTGTGGCACAAAAGTGGTTTGCTAGGTTTCATTCCGGTAAATTCAATGTCACAGATGCACCAGGTTATGCTGTGTGTTCGGTGGGATTGGCATGGAATCAACTACTACGATCAATTCGGCCCTCTACTGCCAATAACTGGACCGCTTGAAGGCAGCACTCATCCAGAAGAGGCCAGCTTTGATCAACTGAGGCCATATTGTGTTCCACCAAGACAACGCCAGGCCACACACGTCTTTGGTGACACGTCAGAAGCTCCAGGAGCTCAGATGGGAGGTCCTAATGCACCCACCTTATAGTCCGGACCTGACAGCAAGTGAATACCATCTTTTCCTATCCATGGCGAATGCGCTTAATGGCGAGAAGTTGACCTCAAGAGAGGCCTGTGATAATCGGCCCCCCGAGTTTTTTGCCACTAGCTATGCAGCCTTCTACGAGAAGGGTAGAATGATGTTGGCATCTCGTTGGCAAAAAGTTTACGAACAAAACGGTGCATATTTGACTTAAATCGGACAAATGTACACAAATTTATCATATTTTGAAAAGATCAATAAAAAACCGAGCGAACTTTTTACTTTACCTATAACAATACATATAAGAGATCTTTAGAGCTTTAAGAATGAGTACCGAATAAGGCGTAGTTCGGTTTTGAAACAATTTGAGTGAACGATAGTTCACTCTATCTACCCTGAGTTTGTATGGCTCGTGGGGTTTTATGAGGACATTTCTTGCCGTGTGCCGACCACAAATAGAAAAATTAACAAATTTATTTTTTAAAGTAATTTTCTTATAATTTTGAATGTTGTACTCAACTACGTGACCCTCTGAATGTTAGTACGTAGTAATAGCCACCCGGCTTTTGTGTCTTCTTCTTCTTTATTAGCGTAGACAACACCTACCTACTATTTCTTTCTTTTTTTCGCTGTTTCACGGCTAAAAGAAATAACAAGTGCAGTCAGGTCCTTCTCCAACTGAGCTTCCCATGGGAGTGAAGGTATTCATCTTCCTCTGCATCCACCGGCGGCTATTGCATGTGCATAAGTCGGTACAACATGATCTAGTCAACGCAGCCGCTGTTCCATATTAAACCATAAATCTGACTCAAAAACTTTATCTCGCGAACTCCTAACGCCGGCTCATCAGCTGTTGTCATCGGCCATGCACCTTATAGCAGCACGGGAGCCTTGAGGAACTTTTAGAGTTTGGTCTTCGTTCGTCGAGAGAGAACTTTTAATTTCAATTGCCTTTTCAGCCCAAAGTAACACAAAAATCTCCCAACAAAAAACCCCATCGGCCGTTCGAAGGAATGTTAAGAAACAGAAAATCGTTTCAGCAGTTATGAAGCGCTTTAAAATTGTATATAACTTCTTCGACGATGACGAGAGTGTTCTGACCCTAAAGAGCTCTCACTTTCTCGTACTTCTCTCAGCGCTGTGCAAATCTCAGATGTGCGTTCACTTTTCACGAACATTTTTGAGCTCAGACTTAGAGAGGGGTTTTGTCAGCGTTCTAAGCATACGTAAGACATTCTGAATAAAACTCGAGCTCGACACAACAAACTAAAGCTCTACATATGTCTTATATCTGAGATACCTCAATGAAGCACGGCGCTAGTTGAGCTCCGCTGTAACTAAATAAAATTGAACTCTAGATTTGTTTTACTTTAAATTATTTTTAAAATAAAATTAAATTTTTTAATTAAGCATACTAATTGGCAATTTATTATAATTTTGAATTTCTTAATTTTTAGGACCCGAACATTGGGGTGAACAGTACAGTACGTGCAGTGGCAAACATCAAAGTCCCATCAATATTGACTCGGTCAATGTAATTAGGCGTACCTACCAACCGCTCCGGCCGAAGAAGTTTGAATCAACGCCACAAAGCGGGGAAATACTGAATAACGGGCACACTGTGGTCGTACGTCTTGAGTATGACGAACAACGTCCAACCGTGTCCGGTGGTCCGCTTGATGGTGAATTTGTCTTTGAGCAATTACACTTTCACTGGGGCGATAACGACACTTTCGGTAGTGAGGATCGCATAAACAATGTCTCATTCCCAGCCGAGCTGCATATGGTTTTCCGTAATACGAAATATCCCACATTCGGTGAGGCAGCATTAGAGAACAATGGCGTTGCTGTACTGGCCTATTTCTATAAGGTTCATGATTTAATTATATTTTTTGCAGTTTTCATTTTAAAGTTAAAAATTATTGTTTGCTTTTTTTTTTAGATATCAAAAAAGGATAATCCCGATTATGCTGAATTCACAGAGCTTTTAGAGCATGTGGTGAAGCCGGATATGGTGGCGAAATTCAGTGACCCACCAATTCTTTGGGATTTCATAAATATTGAGTTTGAGGACTATTACACATATATTGGTTCGTTGACTACGCCACCTTGCAGTGAGCATGTGACTTGGATTGATTTTAAAGAACCCGTATTTATCTCTGCTAATCAGGTCAGCATGGCATCTAAATGCTTAGAACCTATGTACTTTATGAAGTTTTATATGTAACATTTAATAATAATAGGTGGCTGAAACGATTTTCGGCTGATATTCCTCTGCAACGCCCCTGAACGGTCGCTAAATTTTTATTAGTAGTTTAAGATTCCTTCTTGGAAATACACTGGGAGTGCTTGACATTCCCTGCCGATCGGTGGCCGCAATTAGAAAAATATATTTTCTGAAATTTTTGATGTTGGTGAAACCAGGACTTAAACCATGGTCATCTGAATCTTAGTACGTAATGCTAACCACTAGGTTATTGTGGTCGCTGCAGTATAAAATGTTTAATGTGAAGAGGGCGCAACCTTTTCCCATAACTTACTTCTTTATCTCGAAGCATCCTCTACCAACTAATGGGGTTTCAGTTATTTAATATGGCGTTGTTGTTCTCCCTTTACATCCGGGCCGGGTATTGATGGCTAATGTTTGACATTTTGAACTTACAAAATACCAAACTGAGGACGCTGATAGGAAGCCTCCTAATGGCACCTATATTTCACAACTTTTTAGCACCAACTGTGAAGATATGCAAAGCCGCCTCTCTTGCACTTTAAGAACCTTTCCAAAACGGGGAAAACGAATCTTCTCATCCATACGAGTACCGCTATACAACTTGGTTTCCAACACGACTCCCTGATACTTTGCGCTTAGTTTCAGTTATAGGTAGGTGGCCCCCGACTTTGACTTGATCCTGACTGAAATTGTGTACTCCTTTATGAATGGAAACTTTGAATGCTTTGTTTATTATGGTTCTTAGTGCTCTATTGAGTACAGAGCTAAATGTTGCCAGTTACTAACTGCTTACGATAATCTCCCATCCCATCACATCTGTATGAGCACAAAGCACATGGCTGCTTCCTTCCTTAGCTTATGATTAATCCGTTGATCATGAGTGTCCAAGGGTAAGGGGATAACACTTCACATTATACACGTCACAGTACACATCTCGTGGATGATTCTTGCTGACTGTGCATAGCTTGCATCCGAATGACAGAAACACCGCGAAACTGCCAAGAAGCCAAGGTCAATTTCATTCCAAAGGCGGGTAAGGAGGATTACTCTGTACCGAAATCATATAAACACGTCAGTCTAACATCTTTCACGCTGAAAGACATAGAAAAGATATGTCACGATATAAACAACAAATACCTCCCGAGCGACTATCTTTTCGGCATTTTTTGATGTAGAGGAAACCTTTGGGAATCCCAAAACCGTCGCTTTGGTCTCATCAATTGCGTCATTTGGTACATATTACTTTCCTGGCAGGGAAGGCTATCGGTGACACTGATATATCTATCTTCTCTATCTTCGAAGCGGCAAAATGTAAATATGTGAGAACATTCAAATAGTCAATTGGCAGATTATCAGGGAGGAATACAGTGGACGTCACTTGAGTCCAGGTCCACACGGATACGCCCTCACTAGTACTTAAGGTCCTAGAGCATTTCCGACGTGGAGCGTACCACTAAACTACTATGCTTTGCGACCAGACCAAATTCGACTCTGAGAAAAAAAGAGGTTAGCATATTTGCGGGTGTACTTAAGGCGCATTTCACCCCGGAAATATCAACCCCATAAGCTAGGTAGGCCAGACTCGACAGAGTGTAGAGCTTACACAAAGGAGAGCAAAACGCACTTAGCCTATAAAGACGTCAAATGTTCCGTGCCAGCCCTATGGAGATGGGTGTGTAACGGTGAAAGAAACTAGAACAATTCATTTAATCCAGCGTTTTTTTGAAAAAATCATAAATGGCATAAACAGGAAATCACAATGATCCTACTAAGATCAGGTTATGAAAATCCTCTTTCTAACAACCAACCAACAAGCCGTATATTCAAATCCGAAAGACACAGCTGACTAGAATCGATTCTAATGACTTTTTTAAATGTTTGCTGAGACCTATTCTTCCCTTTGAATTTGAATCTATCGACACACTTTTCCAATCTCTATAAATATTATCGAATATATTTCAGTTGGTTCGTCAATATGTTGAACTGAATATTGTCTAAAATGTTAAACCGGATGTTCCAAAGCTTCTTTGTTGAAAACGGATTCCAAAAACTTCATTTATGCGTATTAGTTAAGGTTATACTGGCCAGCTGATGCGCTTTAGATAGACCCGTTGGGCCGATGTAGTCCGTTTACTCTGATTTACTCTGATCTGTCACCAAAGCTCTATCGGAAAATTAATTATGCCCGTTTTTAACGACTTTTGCATATCTTCTACTGGTTCGCTTGCAAGACCTATGACACTTTTCGCAGTCTCATCTACTATTTCGCGCTCTCGTGACCTGGAAGTAAAAATATATGTAGCCGTTTACCCTCGGCCGTCATGTCTACTGCTTTTAAGAGCATTTTCTGACACAATGCAAGCTGAGATTATCGCCTTAATTACATGCTGGCTGCCGACATTGATACTGAGAGTTTGTATATTATGATTTTTTGCAGCTACATCAGCCGCTTCCCCTATAAGCAAGACTCTCGTCTGGAAAATACTGCAGTACTAGAGAAACTTCGTGGGTTGCTTGAGGTTAGGCTCAGCACGATAGACTCTGTTGCTCCATCAACTATTTTCCAACCATCAGTGTACATGCAATACGTAGCACTGGCGGGTCGCATGTTCCTGCGCCATACGCCCTCCTCCGTCTGCCCGCAAATCGAGTTGTGCATCATTCATTTAATTTCAAAATATTTTCTATTTGATTTTATTATTATTTTCAAGTTTTTTTATTTAATATTTTATTATTATTCTCCCATATTTATTTTACCATCTAGATCGAACGTTTCCGCCATCTCTACACACATGACAATTCGCCAATGACACATAATTATCGCCCCCTTCAGCCGTTGAACGATCGCAATGTCTTCTCTTCGCTCCCGATAAGAGCACCAATGGCTACGCCCAAGAATCCGGCAAGTGCTGTACCCTTCGTTGATAATTTGGTTGGGGGCGGCGCCACGAGGAGACCGGCTGGCATTAGTGTTACAGCCACAATGTTGGTCTTAAGCATATTTACCGTTAAAATCGCTATTTAGATTTTCATTAAACTTAAGCACAAAAGAAAGTATGAGTTCTGATTACCAATAATAATTAATTATTTGTGTTAATTAAGTGTAATTATGAGCTTGTTTCGGTGCTTACCAAAGTATTATAACGGTATTTATTAAATTGTTAATTAAGCCTATCAAATACATACAGACATTCATACATACAAATAATTAGCCATATGCATATGTATATATATATATATGTGTGTGTATATGTAAGATAAGTTAAAGTTAATTGATTTCAGTATTCTCATTATTTTTAGAACCATAAAAAACATATTTATATGTATTGTACGTAGTATATACATACAAGTACAGACATATGTATGAACATCTCTACTGCTTTAGTTATATACGAATATATTATATATGTAAAAAAAAAATAAATTGTGTCTTTTATGACAAATAACAATAAATGTGCAAAAATGTGTTGCTTATCATGACGATAAAGGGTGTTTTTTTAGATATGTCGCTTTCAAGAATAAATAATTCAATGTTATGGCCAGGAATTTAACTTTATTATGAGGACAAGGGGTTGCTATTATGTTTTAAAAAATATTTGGGGCTAATGGCCACCACGGCTGGGTCGAATAAATTCCAAACGAGAGGCCGGAACCTCTTTTAGCAGCGATCGGGACGCACATATGTCAGCAAAAATGTGCCGAATATCATCTCCCAAGACGTCAATCGTATTTAGCCAAGCGACTTCACATAACCCGACAAAAAATAGACCAGCGGTGTTTAAATTATGGTCTTAAAGGTCGCGCGATAGGTCTACGACGCAAGACAATGCGCTCGCCAAAAGTTTCAAGTTTCCCTCAATAAATTGTTTGTTTCGTTGGCTGTTCAAACCAAAAGTCGTCCTCATCAACATCTTCCATTCTTCAGGCACGAAAGAGTCATTAATAATGGCGCCATAACTTTTCTCATTGGCTTAATTTTTGTACAATTATGAACCCCATAGATCACACCAAGCAGTGATCCCCTAGATCAGTGGCAGTGAGAAGACAATGTCGTCTCAGCAATGACTTGTGGTTTACCATCACCCTAAATACGACAATGTTGTTTATTAACGTGCACATTCAACCAAATTGCAAAAATCGGGTTCCGTGACCAACTCGTTTTGGGCCCATTCACCGAATATGCGACGCGCTTGATGGCCCACAAACCAAGATCCTTCGGCAAAATTTTAAATAAAGTGGATGGCAGAGCTCCAATTGTTGTGCGTGTTGGTGGATGCACTCATTCGGGTCTTCTTCGAGACTCTGTTCCACAGCAACAATGGTGTCTTCAATACACAGTGTATGGCATCTCTGCAGACTTGCATTGTGCACCAGCTTAAACTTGCGGCGAAAACGATCCCCGTCAATAGACTTAGTAGCAGTCTGAGGTCCAACTTTTCCATCAGCAAAATAATCTTGGTTTAGAATCGCATGCTTTGCATATAGTTTTCATGGTTCTACAGAGCATTGAAACGTTCCCAAAGTCAATTCGCCTGACGAAGCAAGATAAATTCTTACGCTAGGACGATCTCCTTAGCCAGTTCAACAGCTAACTCATTGCTTTCGTTGCCCATTTGAACTGGCACCCAGTTAATATGTATATTTCATCCCTCGGACAGTCTTTGTATCAACTCTTTACATGGTGGAGCCACAGCCGACTTCGTACTGTGTGAAAGTAAGCCCTTAAGAGACGCTTGGCTGTCTACATGTCTCTTCCTTTGAAGGTCTGCAGCTTTGTCAAAATTTTGCACCAGTCTTGCAGCAGTTAAGGATGCCCTGTATTTAGCTAGTAGGTTTGCTGGTTGAATGCTTAAAATCAGTGACCGGTGGCGCTGACCACTGAAGATTGAAGACCCTCTACAGCCTAACAAGATATGCTACTTTGTCTATAACCTTTCATTATATTAGAGCTCCAGAGGAAACTATTGGCTTAACGACCAAAACGAGAGAGCAGGTGAGCGACCCCAAGCCCATACCAATAACCTTTTATATGTACGTCAGGACCGCTTGTGCATTCTTCACTCGCGCCTCTAAATTGAGACGCTGTTTAACAAAACCCCCAAGTCTGGAAAATATCTGATGCATGCACCTTTCTCTCAAGCTACAAGCCCTAGCCACTTTTTTACTATCTAAGCGGGCAATGGCTACTCAAACCTCGTCTTAATCGGGTAATGGAACGTATTTTCCATCATCGTCGATTGGGGTATCAGGTTAAATTATTTCTTCAACAATAAACAAATTTTTACTTCGCCTTAGTCAAACTAATATTTACTTAATTCTTAATTTGCTTGCAGGTCAGAGCCCACAACTTGCAACGTGCAGTGGCAAGCATCCCAGTCCCATCAACAATGAAACGGTGAATGTCGTTAATCAAGAATATAGAATTCTCGCTTTTAAGTCATTTCATGAGCGGCCACGGAATGTTGAGTTATTTAACGACGGACAAACGCTGGTCGTGCGTTTCGAATATGACGAAACGTTGCATCCAACTGTGTCCGGTGGTCCACTTAATGGGGATTTTGAGCTTGAAAAAATACAATTCTATTGGGGTCACTATAATAAGAACACCATTGGCACTGAGGATCCCATTAGGAATGTGTCATTTCCAACGGAGCTGCATGTCATTTTCAGAAATATGAAATACCAAGACTTCGACCAAGCGGCGAATAAGAGAGATGGAATCGCAGTTTTAGCCTTCTTTTTTGAGGTGCGACAATTTATACATTAAATAATTGCAGTTTCTCATTATTTAATTCTCTACTAATTTTTAGATATTTGAAAGGGATAACGAGGATTATGCTGCACTGACCAAAACGGTGAAACAAGTGGCCAAACCGAATGCGGTTGCTAAACTTAAGAAACCCAAGGCGCTGTGGTCCTTTATAAGTTTTAATATTTTCGATTATTATACTTATACAGGCTCACTGACTACTCCACCTTGCAGTGAGGATGTGTTATGGATCGATTTTCAGCGTCCGATACAGATGTCATCAAAGCAGGTACGTATTAGATAATTTGTTTTGGTATTTGCGCTTTGAAGCTGCCATTCTAACTATTTTGCCGCACTTAGTCTGTTTGCCAAGCCAGCATTCATTCTTCCTGGGCGGGAGACGCCCTATACTAAAGCTCTCGCTCATTGACTTTCATTTCGTTCACAGAAAATTTCACACCCATAATTCCCAACCAGTTCATCAGTTCCCTCCAAAAAGTCCATGGCGCGAACATAGGATCGGTAGTGTGTCGTATTGCGTCCCCAATAATTGTCATTTAATATCATAGTTTTCTTTCCGTATGCCTCACATGTTGTCTCTGTCCGGTTCTATACAGAGCTCGTTTTAGACGTCTAGAAGCCACACTGCGTGGATGGATGGCGAAGAACCACATTCAATGCATCAGCTTCTTTGCAAAATATGGTCGGAGGAAAGCAACCTATGTATGGTCTGTCCAAATGCCAAAAAGGAGGAACCCCACCGCCTCCTCAATATCGCGTATAAGGTCATATCGAAGATATTCTTTGAAATGCTAAAGCCCCCCGTCAACACTCTAGTTGGATCTTAGACCAAATATTTCCCTTGCGCCAAATCTTAGAAAATACTAATGAAAAGAGGATCGACACAGGCCTTTGACAGCCCAAACTAGCCGAATTCGTTATTCAGACAAAACTTATTCGGCTATGTTAATTGACCCTAAGTAATATTAAAAGTTCCGTCGGAATTGGGAAGTACCTCTCCTTACCGCTTGATATTAAACAAGGTTTCAAATAAAGTGATTCCTTATCGTGTGGCCTCTTTAATTTATTGCTGGAGAAAATTATATCTTCTAAAAAAGTTTACAGTCTCTCTCCCTATCTTTCTTTTTCTCTCTCTCTCTATCTTTCTCTCTCTCTATCTCTCTCTCTCTATCTTTCTTTCTCTCTCTCTCTCTATCTTTCTTTCTATCTCTCTCTATCTCTCTCTCTCTCTATCTATATTTCTTTCTCTCTCTCTCTCTTTATCCATTAACTCTATCACTCAGTCTCATAATCTTTTTTCTTGTATTACGTAGATTGAAAGTTTTCGACATCTCTACACTGATGATAACACCCGAATGATCTATACCCAACGACCCGTATTGAAGCCGCTTCGCAATCGCACAATCTTTGACGCAGTTTTGGTTATCGATCCAGAGGATGAGGCTACCGACTTGCATAGTGCAATACCCTATGTGGATAACTTGGTTGGTGCAGCAAATGCGCTTGACTCTGGTGGAATTTGTTTTATTTTTCCATTGTTCGTGTCAAGCATATTTACAGGAAGGGTCTCAGCCAAGGGTTGGAATTAGAAATGTTTATTGTTTAGGTACAAACTTATCGGTGTGCTAATACAGTTATGTTAAGGATCAGCCCTAGTAGCCTTCTTGATTGATAATTTAATGTTAATAAATACTCAAATAAATTAAAGATGATGCTGGCGTGTGGGACTTTTTTCATGGGACTTCACAGTCCTCTGGACAAATACATTAAGGTCGGTAATTTAGATAAGCGGTTTTTCAAAAGTAGACACCGGTAGTAGATTTAACTTACAATCGAGACAGGAGATAAAAGGAATAGCGGATTTCGAGAATGAGCAAATCAGGGAGATTCTGTTTTATGGTGATGAATGAAGTCCATTAGGTCAAATAGTACCTTCCGAATTTGCCAGAGAATCTGCAATGATGATACCAATGTAAGCATTGCCAATGGTGCACAGGGGACATCAGGAGGTTTGTGTTGTGTTCTGACAGGCTTGTAGCATCTTATTCGCCCCTGAAATACCGGCCAAATGCCTTGTAAATTGTGAACGACTTCTTACAATCCGCATCAAAGCGTAGAACCAATGATTACTTTCAAGGAACGCTCTTCACGGAAAAGGTAGGCCGTGGGATTCGCTTACCAGTGCACTGAAACAAACTGAATGTTTTTTGAGGCTACCAGCCCAATGCGGCGTCTTCCAAGGAGAGCTTATTGCAATCACAGAAGCCCCCGAATGAATGTCTAAATATTTGATACTAACTAATCAATCACTCGTATAGCCAAACGGCCATCAGATCTATTCAGTGCAAAAGTGCACTAAAATTTAGAGGAACAGTAAGCAGTCACTCGGTTGAATACAACACAGCCATGATCTACGTACCCCGACATAAGAACATCCCAGGCGACTATGCGGCAGATTACCTAAACAGAGGAAGGAACCAATCTAAACTCTGTCCACTAGTCTTCCCCAAAAAACCCAGTTTACCTAAACCGGTTCACTATCAACCAACAACTGGTATGTTTATGAAGCTGCGTGGTAGGAGAATAGGAATAATTTTTGTTTAAAGACTTCAGTCCACCTTCAAGAAGCTGACACAAACGCCTCTTCGTCGATTATAAAGCAGCCTTCGAGAGCACTAAAGAGTGCTACCTCTCTACGTAGCTATGACTGAACACAAAAAGCTCCGTCAGGATCGGGAAGGGCCTAGGGGCACTCACATCACTGTTTTTGGCAGAGCCAGAAGAAGAACTGGTACGATGAGGACTGCCGTGTCGTAATTGAAAGAAAACAGACTTTCTACCTCGCAACTTTGCGACCGACCAGAACCGAAAAGGGTAGCAAGAGGCATTTGCAGACGAAAGAAGATAGAGGCCAATATGCGTGAGTATGAAGAGATTGAGAAGTTGCCCGACAAGGGTAATTGTTCGAAAATTCTATGAAAATATGCGTCGACTTACGGATGGTCATGTAATACCAATATATAAGCGCAATCCAACTTTGAAAGTTTCAATGATGTACTCGCCGGTGGAAGCAGAGGAGGAGAAAAACCTTCATTGTTGGAAGGATAAAGTGGAGAAGAATCTGACTTCACTTAACACCTCCAATCCGTAAACAAGTAATGAATGAAGCGCTATTGTTGTTAGATCAACTATAATCGCTTAAGCGTTGTATGTGCCAGTAAAAAGAACGAAATAAAATCGCTTAAAGATATTAGGATTTTTGAAGACATTTCTGAGATTTATTGCTGTAATTGTTCTTTTATTATTATTATTATTATTATTACCATGTTATTTATTTTTAAGTATTCCTTAGGCATTAAAATTACCATACATATATATATATATATAATAATAATAATAATAAATTAGATAATTTACTTGCATAAATCCAACATATTTTTCTTTTGCGTACGATATACATACAGACAGGTGTATTAAATGTTGGTTTTGCTGTGTGTTTGAGTTTGTTGTATTTCATATTATTTTTATTTTTTTATATTTTCAATTAATTTTTTTTTTAAACACAAATGATTTTTTGTTTGTTTTTATTTTGATATTTTTTATGTGCTTTTATTTTACTTTTCTTTCCTTTTGTTTGTTGTTCTAACTGAAAATCCTTATATGCATATATGTATGTGTTTAGTTTACTACTTGTTTGTATATATATCATGTTTTTGTCACACTACATACGATATATTTAATATTAGTTATTACAATTATTATATAGAATTTATTTTACACAAATGTGTTCTACATAACTAAGCATATGAATTATATTAAAATTAAATATATATTTATGTGTATGAATACATTGTATATTAATTGCTTATGAATTTACGGTTTTTTTGTTTTTTTGCTATACATTTTAGCCTACTAGCGTTACTTATTTAATATTTTTAGCGTGTTTTTGTATATATATATATATTTGATGTTCTTATTTCTTAACTGTTTTTTTTTTTTAATTGTAACTTTTTGTTTCCTTTTTGTTTTAAAGTTGTTGGTCTTAGTCTAAAGGTGAGTTTTCTAATTTGCTTATTATTAATTTATTAATATTTTCTTTTTGCACACAGTATTATGTGCATCTCATCATTTAATTAATGCCTTTTACGTGAAAAGTTGATTTTTTTTTATTTGTGGACAATTTCAATGAATATAAACTGCACACCGAAGCATTAAAACAGTATGAATTTCAAAGCAGAAATTTTTTTTCGAAAAAAGAAATATTTATGAAATCTACGAAATTAATGTAAATTTGAAAATTTTTTTATGTTTATAATTATATTGTTTATATTTAAACTAATATTGATTTTTGCTGCTGATTTGATTTTTCTTTTGAAATTTTTTTTAAAGAAAAATAACTGTCCAAGAAGTGACTTACGGAAAAATATTATTATTTTTTTTTGTATATTTTTATTACGCACACAAAATATACAAAAAACATTTACAAACATATGTATTTTTATTTAGAATTATATCTACACATATGACATACATGTATGTGTGTATGTTAAAAAGTGTTAAAAACTTTTAGCGTTCAGTAAAAATACATATATGTACCTGTGCCAGTGTATATTTCTTTTATAGTACATTTTTATACAATAATTTTTTGTTTTATAATTTTAAAGTTTTTTATTTTTTTTATAATTTTAGTTTTAGCTTTTGATTTATTTAATTTTGTTTAATTTTAATTTCTTTTAAGTAATTATTTTATAATTATAACTTTTTTATAGTTTATGTTTTCAGCTTTTGTTTTTTTTTTATTTGCATTACATACATATAGACGTATGCGTAACGCGTATATGCATGTAGATACATACGTATATGTGCTTATAGTATCTTTTTATGTTTGTATATACAAGAATTGTAACATTTAGCCAAGTGTTGACATACAAATTAATGTAATGTTACACAGCACTCGAGGCTTTATAATATGTATTTGTTCCTCTTTTTTTTAACTAAATAGTTAAAGCTTAGATGTATGTATAATTTAACTCTAAATTTTACAAATGTATATCAATAACTATTTTCTAAATAAAAACGCGTTTAGTTTTGTTCATTTCACATTTCTGTTTTGATTTTTTTCAATGCACAAACCATTAATGAAGCATGAAAACATATAAATTTAAATATTCATTAATTATATAGCAAATTAACAAATAATACTAAGCATGAGATAAATAAATAGATATTTAATACAATATGAAAACACACAAACGCAGAGTTTCTAATTTAATTTTAAGCTTAAGCAATTGAAAAAATACTTTTTAAATAAAATAAATAAAAAATCGAGCTGTTCACTCACATAATTTGTTCATCGTCAGTTTATAATAAATTGTCTCCCTACAATTTTCTTATTTACAAATGCATGTATATATGTCTGTTTGTACAATAAATATACATAAATATATGCACATGTTCATTAATTTACTTTTTTTTACACTTATTATGTGCGAATACAATTCCTTAATTTTGTCTATGCGGTCAGATACCAAAAAAAAATATTTATCCAAGAAAAATATAAATTGTAAACAGTGATTTGTTGTCATGGCGGTTGAATTATATGTCAATAATTAAAAAAGAAATATAATTAAAAGAGAGAAAGAAGTGTAGCGCCATTTATGTAAAAGTTATATGTGAATTACCTATATATATTTCAAGTTTCATTGAGGTTAAGCAAAGCAGCATTCTTTTTCATTTCCGAATTATTTATTACTCTCAAAAATAACCAAGTTGAGTCAAAAATATTTAATTTTATTCGTCATTGAGTCTTTGATGCTTACTTGCGCCACAAATTGGCTTATTCATATGAAAAATATTTATATGAAAATTATATGAAAATAGCAAATGTTTTATTTAAACTTTTTTGCTTGTGATTTGTCTAAAAACTGACCAAAAATAGAAATGTGTAGGACATACAAAAAAAATAAACACTCATGCAGCACTACGAAATTACATTATTTGTGTAAAAAAACAATCTCTTTTAAGCAAATTCTACAGCGTTCCATTTTCTTTAGTACTTTTTGTTTTCATAAAGCGCGAATCGTTTGTATGTACATACATACATAAGTATTAACATTAGTTAAGCATATTTAAGACCATCACTAGATTGCTGTGTACGTATGTATGTATGTTTCAAAAATAATTTTCTGAATACTTTACAACATATAATTAATATATATGTATATAATATAATATATATATATATGTATTTATATAATATACATATATATGTAATGTCCATGTATATTTATGGTACGTATGTATTTATATAAACCACTTTGCTTGCTCCGCACTTTGCCATAGCTTTTTTTTGTTTTTGGTTTTGTGTTATTAAATTTAGTTTAAAAAAATTTTGGTTGCTGCTTGCGTTTGAATGTTTCACGACGGACTTGAATTTTTTGTGCTATTTACGCCAAGTAGAAACTAACGTAGCTGATTTCTGTGAATGAAATTCAAGAGAAGATTAGAAAAATATATTAAAATTTGCTTTATATATGTAAATATTAAGAGCTTGTTAAATAAATTTAAAAAATGTATATATTTTCAACTTATTAACAAAAAATACTAATTTCGAAAAACTATTTAAAAATATAAGAAATTATTTTAAAACACATTTACGTAAAGTTAATAAAAAAAATAGTTTTGAAAATTAAAAAAAAAAACATAATTTTGCAAAATTATTATACAAGAAAAATATTTTTGAAAAATTATTAAAAAAATAAAAATTTTTTTAAACTTATTAAATTTTTTTGTTTGCAAAATTATTGAAAAAAATTTTTTTTGCAAAATTATTAAAAAAAAAATTTTGAAAATTTATTTAAAAAAAAAAATTTTGAAATTTTATTTAAAAAAAAAATTATTTTAAAAACTTATTAATAAAAAAAAATATTTTGAAATATTGAAAAAAATTATTAAAAAAAATTTGAAAAATTATTTTATAAAAATTATTTTAAAAAAATAATTTTAAAATATTTTAAAAAAATAATTTTGAAAAATTATTTAAAAAAAAAAAAATAATTTTGATAAATTATCAAAAAAAAAAAAAATAATTTTGATAAATTATCAAAAAGAAAATAATTTTGAAAAATTATAAAAAATAATTTTGAGAGATTAAAAAAAATAACAATTTTGAAAAATTATAAAAAGTCATTTTGAAAAAATATTAAATAAAATATTATTTTGCATAATTAACAAAAAAAAACAGACGTTACTTAAGTTGTGCTGAGCTATCAAAATTTGGTAGTAAAAATTGTAGTGAATTTAAAAAAAAAAAAATATTATGAAAAACGCCAATATGCACATGTACATTTGTTGTGAATTATGTGTTATAAAGTAAGTAACGTTTTTAAGTTCATACGCTACTTTTTTCAGTTGACATACATACATATAATTAATATTTATAATCACAATCAATAATCAACAGCCAACAGCCAACCGCTACAGGCGCATTTATTTGACAATTAAAAAAAATATCATTATATATGTATATGTAATATAGCAAATTGGGAGTATACTAACTTTTCGCCGTCGAAGGGTAAAACTGTCAACAATTTGCAACGAATTAATCATTTACACACACACAAATGAAATGTACAAACTATACAATCCGAGAGCTGAGAGCTGAGATAACAACAAATTAAGTTTTCGCACATTTCATGGAAGTAAAATGAAGCATAACATTTCATAACAACTTTACGGCGCACAGTTGAATACGAGTCAAGTGAAATTGAGTGAAGTGGAACAGTATGGTGTGGTGTGGGGTGGAGTGGAGTGGAGCGGAGCGGAGTGAAGGAAAGTCGTGTTAGCGTTGCTGCTGCTGCATTGACTGCTTCCTCTTCGTCATTGTGTTGTCATTTCTTGTGTCAATGCCGGTAATGTTGATTGCCATCATTGTTGAATTTCTTTCTTTTTTACATTTTTACAGTTAAAACGGTAGAACGAATGTTGTTTAAGGAAGTACTGCGTTTAGGTGTTGCATATTACATTTACAAAAGCATTAGCAACTATCTATTGTTGTATTATCCAAGCGTTATACAATAGTTGGGTTGTTCGTATATATGTATATATACATATATATATATATTTTTTTAATTCCATATAATCAGCTTCTTCAATCCATATGCCATTGGTTTTCAAAATTTTAACGCGTACTATAAAACGTTCTACCATAGTGGTCCATTTATCTGGGCCGTGGTCTGTTAAGAATACATAAAATGAAACAAATCAAAATTTACGAAAATTATGTAGACAATGTGATGTAGAGAGGGCATTTTTAGTAAATACATTTCTTTTTTAAATAAATTGATTTACATATATATATACAAATGGATTATATTGAATTTATGCAAATTATAACAATTAATCATACAATAAATACAATTAAGAGAAATGGCAATTATATGTATGTACAGTTTATCGGTTATTGTAAATATGTTCATTAAATAACTGTTGACAAGTTGATATAGATATGTAATTGATTTACCGTTCATAAATCAATTAATAGTATTTCATATGTACATATGCATTTATTTATTCCGAGGCAAGCGTAGTAGACAACAATATTTCTTACTGACTGTTATATATAGTGTTAAATGGCTTTTTTTACACCGGAGTTGGCAAAAATTCATTAATTTTCTCATATGCGCTTCAAAATGATTTAAGTGATTAAAAAAAAAATAATTAATATTTTTTCTATTAATTTTTATGGTGAGGAATCAAAGCTACTACTAATACTTATCAGAGCACCATGTTAAGAAGAGGTTAGAGAGGAGTTTCTGAGGAAAGACCCTTCTTCCTGATATACCAGGAAGATCACATAAATTTCTACTTATTGCTACGGTTAATTTAATGAGGTTACGCACTAGAAACAAAAAACTATTACAAAAAAGCTTACTGGACGAACATTATCAACGTTATCGTATAGAACGTATGGGGAATGAGGACTGTACGTTTAGCGACGATGAAATATTTTTCAATGTCCATTGATTTCGGATGTGACTGTTGACTTTTGACAAGAAAAAACTACGCCAATAGTGAAAATGGAACGATACACACCGAACAACAAAGCATTGAAATTGTTAAAATTCACTACAAAAATGCTGAAAACCAGGCAGAGACAGTTCGTTAAACAAAAACATTCTTCGGTCGTCGTGAAGTATCTTGTCGTTCCGCAATATATAAAAAATACAACGCCTAGAGGGCAAGTTATTTCATGCGAATTTAGTATGTAATTTTCTTACAGTTGCGCTTGAAGATTCACCATTTTCGAAAAAACTTCTCAATATTTGCCAATTTTCTTTAAACGTAAACTTAACCCTTTCGTAAGCCACAAGCCTTTTTTTACTGACTATTTTACACATCGGAAATATCATTGAATATTTCAAAGCCCAAATAAGCCGTACTTCAAGAAGCAAACCCAAATTTTACAAGAACACAGAATGGCAATTATCCAAAGCCCTTGCACTCGACGCGTGGGCTTAAAACAGTCGCTGCACGGCACGAATCGGCCGTATGAAATGTAGCACAAGATCGAGAAAAGTTCCCCTGGGGTTTCGTTTGATGAAGTTTTTATTCGTAATTATTATTTATAGCTAAGGCTCATACTGTGGTGAGTATTTTATACATATTTATTTTTTTTTTTTGTAGGGAAATTTTTCAATGTCAACATAAATCACTTTGAAACACACACCGTCGCAGTATTTTTCAGCCATGTAAAAAACCATAAAACTGAATTTTCACTTACCTAAAATATTGCTCGTGCAATGACTGTCGCTGGAACTCAGCAGCCTGCAAATACTGTAATATATGTAATTAATAATGTAAATATTTTTCAAAATTTGAAGGGGAAACCTGAAGTTGATCCGCGTAGGACATGCGCAGCAAAACATCCGGTTCTCTAGGCATAAGCATACTTGGGCGTGGATATTGACCAACATTCGCTGAATATATTCAAGTAGAGAAGTGAAAAAAAGAGAGAAGAAAGCAATAAATAACATGTACATATGGCCAATGCGATATAAATCGCTGGCACGTATTTTATATACAAACTCACGTGGCAGTTGAAATCCGGCCTCCGGTGGTTGCGGCTGTGAAGGCAAAGGCAAATGTAAATGAGTATGAGAGTGTGCATGATATTCTCTCGTCAATCGTATCTGAAATTTTAAATTTTCAAAAACGTAGCGAATTGTTTTGAGTGCGTTTTTTTATTTTGGCGTTTTAGGCGGGATTTTTTTATTGTTTGAATTTTTTTTTTGCATTACTTTTACAAGTTAAAAAAAAAAATGTATTTAAAACTATTTTTTATGATTTTACAAAAATGAATATTTGATGCATTCGAATAAATGTTAGGAAATTTTTTTTTTCTTGATTAGTTGTTAATTAGCGCATAGAATGACGGGCAAAAATGATGCAGTAAGCCAATTTCTTTAAATGCTTGACTGAGAGTTAGAAAAAAAAAACAAGTAGACCAAATGAATTCACAATGATTATTAATGAAAATTATACAATAAATACTTTGAAAGACACAACACAACAAAAATGCCTTCACATTTACAATTACACAGACACTCAAGAGATGATCTGTGAGAAATGACAGTGAAACACAAGCTTACAAACAGACATTAATGAAAAAAGTGACGCCGACAGAAGTTACCAAAAATATTAATTTATATCTATATTGCCATCATCAAATGTTATTTGTAGCCAATTTTTAAGTCGAAATTTAATATGTAGCACTTTTTCTAAAAATGTGATTTAGTGGTTGTTAGATATGAATACACGTTTTCAGACACACGCACACACACAAACATTTCTTTGGTGTTTTTTGTTTTTTCTCATAATTTCTTCATTTCTTTTTGTTTTGGTTAATTCGCAAATTTTGAAATTTCCTTCCAAATACGATTGAAAGTTGGATTTGTTCATATGTTGATACTTAAAAGAATATAGTTTTGATACGATACGAAATATGCTGATATATGTAGTATGGTATGGTATGATAAGACGGTTCAATGATAGTGATCAAATCGATGACTTTCTCAATATAATTATAATTTTGAAATAACAACAATGCATTAATGATAACGATGAATTTGTTGTAGGTGCATTAACTATTTTCTATTTGTTTTTTAATTGTTGTTGCTTTTTTGGTAGCTTATTGTTGGTGATATTTACCATATGCTCGCCGGGATCTAAGCCAACGTGATGTGGCGGCGGTATGCCGAGGCGTTCGCGCTCCATTTGTGAAATAGCAGCCGGATTGGCGTAGAGCGGAAATTGTGATGGATGCATGCCACTGTGAAAAATTTTTAAATAAATTAAATTATTATAAAAAATAAAAAATATCAAAAAAGTGTGAATCGTATAATTATTTTACTAAAATATTAAAGAAAATAAAATTTGAAATTTTTACAAATTATTTCGGACTTTTCAAAAATCAAAATTTATTTTCGAAATTTTACGCTTTTTTCGAATTAATTTTTTTTTTTTTTTTTTTTTTTCTCTCCACTTACCGCCTATAATATTCCATCCAGTGCGGATCCAGACGCGATTGACTGGCTGCGGCCGCTTGTGCGTTCTTGATTTCCTCCAATTCCCTAAAAAAGTCATTTATGCAACGATTAATAATTTTCATTAAATCGAAAACTCAAAATCGAGTAGTACAAAGATAGAGGCAAAAAAAAAGCAAAATAAAACATTTAGATAATTTTTGTGGTAAAGAGGTTGGGATTTTTTCTGGCATAATGGATAAGCATGTACGACGTATACGGATGTGGTTTATTAAAAAGCGATTTTTCAATTGTTTTAAATCATGACATGCAAATGTAAAATTAAGTTTAAACAAAATACAGTATAAAGAATTCAAGCAAATGGAATAAAAATTTATTAAATAAAATATTTATTAAATAAAAAAAATTGAATATGCAAAAACTAGAAATCGAAAGAATATGTACGAGTACATGCCAGCAGAATGCGTTATAATTTTCGATAAGTTTTCGTTGATTTTTCATAATTGCTTTAATTAATATTATCCTAATTTTCACCTATGGATTTTCATAAGAAAACCGGACGTTCGACAGGCATGCCTTACCTCGATTAAATTTTTAAGCCTCAAACCGGCAAAGCAACATCAAGATATCTACTTAAATATCATATATATATATTTATAATTTTAGGTTCATAATCTAACATTTTCTTGCTGGCATGTATAAATCGTAGCAAAAAGCGCAAACTTTCGCATATGAGATAATATAAATGTAAACACATGAGGAATAATAAAACATATTTTTAAGCATGATTTAATGGTATGAAAGGAAGAAGATCAAGCAGATATTATTATTTGAAATTACTCGATTTATTTTAGAGTTTTCTTATATGATGTTGTGTTTAGTAATTAAATTAGGTGTGAAAATTTTTTTTTATGTTTTTTAATTAGGCAACTGTACCTCTCTCTACTATACATGGGCCCCATTGGGTGATGATAAGGTACCATCTGTTCAACAGGGCTGAAATAATTCGAAAAGAATACATACGTATAAATTTTCAATTATTTCATTGAAGTGTCGTAATATACATACATACATACATACATACATAGTGTACATACAGGCATATGCAAATGAGCTATACTCAAACTAAGTAAATATAAAATATGTATATGTATGTGTGAAAATGTATAAAATAAATTTAATGAAGAAGTAATAAAATGTGTTAAATAAAAAATAAAAAAACGTATTAAGATGAAATTTAGAGTGTGATTTTATTTTTAGATTGTATTACGAGAAGGCCAAAATAGTTTAATAAAATTTTTTGGACAAAAAAAAGTTTTACTCAATCGAACAGAAAGTTACTTAAATTTTTTGTTATTTTTATTATTTATGTTTGTTTACTTCAGACGTTATTTTTGCCAAACCACTTCTTCGTTTATACAAAAAGTTAAAAGTTTAAGTAAAGGAAATATGCTAACGGTTTCAAATCTACCAATACAACACTCACCTGAATGCCACATGTGGTCTGGCATACTCGGATAATTGGCGCAGCGCCGGCGTATCTGCATATGGCGGTTTCAATTCGGCCTTCATTTTGGCTTGCTGAGCAGCTTGCTGCGCTGCAACAGCTTGTTGTTGCTGCTGCTGTTGTTGTTGCTGTTGTTGCTAATCAAAATTACGAAAGCGCATTTAAAAATATATATATATCAATTTAAAAATATATATATATCAATTTAAAAATATATATATATCAATTTAAATATATATATATATATATATATATATATATATATATATATATATATATATATATATATATATATATATATATATATATATATATATATATATATATATATATCAATTTTTATGGCAAAATACTCACTTGACGCCGCTCACGCTCTTTTTCGGCCAGCTTGCGGTCCCGTTCTTCCCGCTTTCTCGCCAATTTCGAATCGGCGACTGGCTTGAAAATCAAATCCGTGCGTGTGCAGGAATTGTAGTCACCACGATCAATGTGCCGTACAAAGCTGAAAGAGTTGGGGAGTATTAACATAAGTGCAACTAAGACAGTTCCCTCCTCTCCAAAGAGACAACTTACATAGCTGACTGCGAGCGATGACATTCGGTATCGTCTGGCTTGGCTTCGGGACTAGGACCACGCTGTATATTTTGCGTTGGGCTGGGAATTTCTGGCTCTGGATCGGGCTCAATATCGATTGGTACTAGAGGTAGTTATGTAAAGTTAATATTAAAGGAATAAAAAGCACAAAATTATGACGACACTTACATGGCTCCGTTGGATGATGCGGACCACCCAGGTTTGCCGAATGTGCGTGTGCACGTAACGCATCCATATGCGATGTTGGCTTCATACCCATCTGTTGACCATCTTGGAATGGTGAGGAGTGCGGTGGTGGCGGATAACCGGATAAATGTGAGCCAGGATAACCGGCTGGTGGCAGACCTGTTGGCGTTGCATGTGAATTACCTGGTGGGCCGCCGCCACCACTACCACTACCCTGTGGCGTCTTTGGTGTTGGAGGTTTGTTCTGTGTCTGTGCCTGAGCCTGCGCTTGTGCTTGCGCTTGCGCTTGTGCTTGAGCCTGTGCTTGTGCCTGCGCATGCGCCTGAGCCTGCGCTTGAGCTTGTGCCTGGGCTTGCGCTTGCGCTTGTGCGGCTGCTTGTTGCTGTTGATGCTGATGATGTTGTTGCTGTTGTTTAAGTTGATGTGCAGCGACTGCTTGTTTTTCGGCAGCCACTGCTGCTGCAGCAGCCATAGCTGGATCGTCGGGCCGTGTTGGCGGCGGCCCCGGCAGTCCAGGATGATGACCACCCAACACCGAGGCCGGGTCGAGTGGACCACCTGGAGGTGGTGGCTTCATGTAGGCTGCAGGAAAACCGGGTCCATATGGCCCGTAACCATAGTTGAATGGATTGTGATGATGCGGGGAGTAGAACATAGATGGATGCAGAAGTGGATGGGGATATGGCGATTGACCGGGATGTACTGCTATTTGTGGTATACCAGCGCCTGTGGGGATCAATGGCAATGGCAGTGGCATTTGTGGATGTCGAATTACGGGTGGCGAAGCGCCTGGTCGTAAATGTGGTGGCGGTGAAGTGCCTAGTACACGCTGATTTGGTTGTGGACAATACATTTTGCTCAATGGACTGGCCATCAGTGTGGAAGCGCTGGATACAGGTGGTGGTGTCATGTGCGGCGATTGTTGTCGTAAAAGCGCATGACGATCACGTTCTGCTACCGCAGCTGCTGCCGCCGAAAGTGCCGACGATGAAGGATGATGGCTAAGTGGGCTTTGCGGTACCGGATGCAGAGGGCTTTGTCGGCTTAAACTGCCACCACTTGAGGCTGGCGATGTAGAACGATGTGCCGCGGTAGATCCGGGTGCACTACTGTTGCCAGGTAGGCCGGAATTACCACTACCACCGCCGCTGCCGCCACCGATATTTTGCGGGCCACCTATACTGGAGTTGGGCCCTTGTACACTTGGACTGGCACGACTGAAGGCAGATGATGGCACTGTATTCGTGATTGACGCAGTGCTGGCAGATGTGGTAGTAGAAGACATACTAACAGCGACAGACGAGTGTGGCGGTGCAGACGAGGAATGCGGCGGTTGTATATGCGATGGTGGAGTGCGTCTGCTTAGTGCCGATTCTGGCATACCAGTCAATGAGGGTGGTCCAGCCAATAAAGCAATTGGACCACCAGCACCTGGTGCAAGACCAGCCATCGAGTGCTGTAATATTGGATGGCCAGGATGGCCAACACCAGCGACAGCCGCATGGGCCGGATGACCGGGTGGTAAATGTGCGAGATGTGGATGTATGGGCATAGGATGACCAATAAGGCCCGGTGGTGGGTTGCCGGGCATGCTAGTCAACGGAGAACTGCGGTGAGCATGTGGCGATTGCTGCGGGGGCATTGAAGCTTGTGATGTTGGAGGCTCACGCGGCTGTCCAGTTGGCGTACTACTATTGATGCCCATACGTTCCTCGTGTAAATTGCGCGATTGTGGTTGCTGCGCCGGTGATGGCGTACGCACTGTATTCGATTGCATGGGCTGTGGAGGCATCTGGTGCGAAGATGGTGGTGGCCCTCCTCTCGGATCATGTCCTTGCAGAGTAAGTGGAATTGGTGCATGTGGATGCATACCAGAAGGCATATCAGGATGCTGGCGATGTAATTGTTGCAAATGGCTGGGCGGGAGGTGTTGAGGGTGCAGGCCGGAGGGTGCGACTGTTGACAGCGGTGGTGGGGCGCCAACCGATGTTGGTGCCATCGAAGATGCAGCAGAGGACTGTGAATGTGATCCCTGCATTTGCTGTGAGTTGTTTGGTGATGGTGTCAGGTGTGGATGATGCATCGAACCAGGCGGAGGTGGTCCAGATACCCCTGATGGCAGACCGGAATTCATTTGGCCATGAGTTGGCGGTCCGTGCGGGGATACCAGATTTTGAGGATGCATGCCAGGTGGCAAGCCACCACCGGCGGGTGAGGGCAAGTGTGGAGAGGGATGCGGTGACTGGAATTGCTGCTGCTGCGACGACGGTTGTGAGCTACTATTGCTACCTTGGCTATCCTGCCCGGGGGTCGAACGAGATGACGCATCTATGGGACTTTCCGATGGCGGGTATTTTAGACCACCAGGTTCCTGCTGTCCATACGGTGAACTTTTAACAAGATTTTCCGCATAAGGTGACGGCTTCATTGGTCCACCATCATTTCCGCTTTGTGGTGGTGGTGGATATTTCAAATCTTGTGGTGAACCATATTTAGCAACCATTGGATCACCATATTTCAACATTAAGCTCGACTCAAAAGCGGAACGCGCCAATGGATGTTGCACCTCATGCTGGTAGTGCGGTTTTGGCATCGCAATGCCCGGTGGCGGCGTGGCACCAGGCGGCGCACCGTGTGTTGATGGTGGTTGTGGGTCTTGAGGTGCACCAGGTCCGGCATACTTCAAACCACCTCCGTCGCCCGACTGATTGGCCGGTGGTGCATATTTACCATCAGCATTTGGCATGTTATAAATGGCTGAGCCTTTCATGTCGGCAAGTTTGAGGGGTTCACCCGGAAAACCTTTAGGCGGTTGCTGATGTAACGATAGATCCCCAGGATATTTACCCTGTTGCTCCAGTGCGAATTTCATATCATATTTACCCGCTGCTGCAGCAGCTGCCGCCGCCGCTGCCGCTACTTGCATATCTTGCACGGTGCCATACTTCATGGCATGTTCCAGTGGCGGTGGCGGATACTTTATATCCTGCATAGCAAACTTACCACCCTCATATTTAATGCCAGCAGCAGCAGCAGCAGCCGCCGCTGCCGCAGCAGCAGACTCATTGTATTTCATTTCCATATCAACGGGATATTTGTGCGTTGGTGGTGGTCCTCCTAATGGCATTCCCGATGTAGGGGGTGCGTTATGATCATTGCTTGGCATGGATTGATGCGGTGGTGGTCCATACTTAAGCTGCCCGTCCATGATATAGCCAGGTGGCGGTTGTATGCCCCCAGGCGGCATGTGCATATGCATGTGCGGCGGTTGTGGTGGAGCATCAGATCCACCAGTTGCATCATTAACCGTTGAAGACATCGATGTGGGTGGCATGCCGCCACTAGAACCACTTTTGCACTCTTCATTTTTAACTTCGACTTTGACCTTTAGATCTTGTGGTTCGTTACTATTCTGATTGCAGGTCGCATCCATAGAGTCATCTAAAGGTTCTTTCTTTATGAAAACGGCAGTTTCCGGCATACTCAAATTGGTGTTGTTCGGCGGCATCAGTTGTTGTTGCTGTTGCTGTTGTTGTTGTTGTTGTTGTTGTTGTTGTTGTTGTTGGTGCTGCTGCTGCTGTTGCATTGACTCCTGTTTCATATTGGCGATCTTCTTCATCATCTCTTGCTCCTTCGCCATATCGACCGCAACTGCGTTACTTTCCGACATATCCATTTTCTCTACGGAGTCCTTACGTTCCGTGCGCAATTCGCCGCGTCCAATAGAAGCGTTGAGCGCCTCAACTGTTGCTATGGTCGGCACTTTCATTGGTACCGGCGGCGAACTGACCACATTCATGCCTTCAGCCTCGTTTGCATTTGACGCTGGTTCCTTTGTGCTAACACCGACGGTATCACTTGGCGAAGATGGTGGTGCTGCCGGAGGTTGTCCGGTAACAGGTGCCTGTATATTTGTCTCTTCATCGTCATTTTTGATGGTCTCTTTGACGTCTTCAGCCGGTTTTTCTGGCTTCTCGTTAATTTCTGCCTTCGAATCACCATCTGCTGCACCACTATCCTCTTTACCAGCCGAACTGTCTTTACCATCCTTCAGTGACTGCTCAACGGTATCGGTCGTATTCGATTCGGCATCATCCAACACTGAATCCGGCCGGCTATCAGAGTTCATACTCTCCTCCGCCGGACTATCTGGCCGTTTACGCTGCTTAGCACTACTATCCTTACTAAGGCTGCCGTCATCGGTGACATCGCCACTACCACCACCACTGCCAGAACCTGCGCTACCATCCACATCGGTACGCTTCTTCTTGCTCGGCGTATCCTGCTTGCCGCCTTTACGTTTATTCGCCGCCACCGTCGTTGTTGTATTATTCTCGGTATTTGCGTTTGCACTTGCGTTATTACCTCCTTTAGTTGGTGTCTTTGGACTATCAGCCGCTGTTACTGTATCGGGTGTTTCAGTACCACGTTTGGGTCGTTTACCGTTTGCTACTTGTGGTGTTGTTTGTTCTTTTGTATTATTATTCTGTTGTTGTTGTTGTTGCTGTTGTTTATTCCTTGTCCTCATTCTAGATGGTGATTCATCCCTCTTGTTTGTAAGACTGGAATCGCTGTCGCACTCGCTGATATCGTCCTCGGTTAGAGAGCTATTCTCCTCCTTGGAGACAACGGGCGACGAGCGCGTCGAATCTGCCGCCGCAGACGCCGTCGTCGCCGTTTGTGGTTCCGGTGTATCCTCCTTCTTCGGAGGTGTATTACTAGCGCGTGTGACACGATTGCGACGCAAGGCACTTTGCCGGCGCCGACGATGCGGTCGATTATTATTGGCACCCGGTGTCTTCTTCCACAAATAGTAAAATTCAACCAATTCGGGTGTCTCTTTGTGCGGTAGTAAGTCTTTGTGTATGCGAAAGAAATTCTTTCCAAATTGCCGTAAGCCCTTAATAAATTTCTTCGTCTCGTCTTCTGTCCACTTCTTATCAATGCCCTTGGAAACCGGGCACTTAACGAGTGCCTGTAATGCTCTACCTGGATCGTAACCAGAATCGTGTAACTAAAAAATGAGCAGAGTGAAAGAAAGAAAGAAAGTGAATTATAATTAGCAATAATTATGAAATATTTATAATAAAATAAAAATAATATTAATACAAAATAACTCATTTTTGGAGAGCTGATAATTTTTAATTTGAAATAAAGAGATATTGTAGGCATCAAAATTATATAAGAGTTTTTAAAATAAAAGCAACGCGAGCGCCATATAAAAGTTATATTCAGAACTTCCATAGTCCGGAATTTTCTGAAGAAGAGTAACTCGTAACGTGGAAAATTAGTTTTAATGCTCTTCCTAGAAATGTTCCCAGCTTTGATTATTTTTCTTTTACGTGAGAAAAACGTTAAAAAAAACATTTAATAATTTCTTTAGAGTTCGGCATATTCTTGACAAGGACTACTTTAGAAATTAATTAAAATTCATAAATAAATATTTCACTTGACTAAGTAAATAATTTAATATTGGTATTTATATATTTTAGTTATAAAAAACCACAAAACGTCAATAATAAAAGTAATATGCAAAAAAAAATTTAAATGAATAAATTATCGCTAAAACCGCAGCTCAAAAAGAACCTTTTTTTTAAATGCAAATTGAAATTTGTATTAACATTTTAATTTCCAACAAAAGATTTTGCATTCGTTTATAGCGAACATAGCAATCAATTAAATATATATATATGTACATATAACTGATAAAATGAGATCATCAATTGATTTTCAAGGAAACTGCAAAGACACAGGGTTAAGGTCAATTCACAAACAACGAACTGCTGTCATGCTGGTATACATTACAAGGGAAATTGGAATTTATTTTAACAACCAAACCAGGCCTTTAACTCACTAAAAACTATTAACAAAAAAAATAATGTATTTGTGTAGCGGCTACGTTATCCCCTCTTCGACGCGATCGGATCAGAAGGGGGTTAAATGTGACGGCTGTCACCCTTTCGGCGGTCGGTAAAGCCTCCTGTCCAGCGGTTCTTGTAAGTGGTGCTGAATGCACTCCTTAAAGTCAAGTACTCCTTTTTGGATGATTCAAGTAAGTGTCTGTTAGGGTGCTCCCTACTGTAGCATTCTTAATAAGCATTGACAACTGTCACAGGCCACCAGTATACCATAACTGATGCTACAACAACAACAACAATAACAATAACCAACACTCCTTAACTCATATCAATTTAATATGGGCTGACTGACTAGGCCTGTGTTTCGGTCTCTTTGAGCCGAGCACCTCCTCAAATTTTTGGTCTGCCTTAATATTTTTCTAACGGTCAAACATCTGATGTAATTTTATCAGCAATTTTTTATTCAATTTAGAAATATGTCATTATTTGCTGAGTTAATTATTTTTTATATAATTTTCGGTTTTGGTTTTTGGTTCGAACCAACGAAAGTACTCACTAATAATACTTCACTGTTTTTTCAGTTAGTACTGAATTTCACAAGAAATTTCATGATATTCTCCTACTAAGTAACATTTCTAATTTTATAAACAATGAATAAAAAAAAAAAATATTTCGCGTCTTAATTTTACGCTGACTCTTCGTAGGAGAAAATAGCCCCCTGCGGGTTAAGGGCTCAAAAATTAACCCATGGGTGTCGTAAGAGCTGACTTAAGTCCAATAGTTCCCGCGGCACCATAACAAACAGGATTTTTATCAGGCCAAGGACTGCCACTAGCGCAATATTTCCTAAACAATTCGGGATCGGGATCACAGATGATGTTCAATGCAGTGGCCATCCGAAGCGGTTACACCAGGAAACATAAAAATAATCCACAAAAACGTTTGAAGTTCAGTAAAGTTCAGTTCAACAAAAGATCCTGTATAAACATTTGACTATGAGAAAGCTTTCTTCACATGTGGTTTTCGGATTTAGTAGTTTTCGCGTCGATTACTAGCAAAGGATGAAACATGAGTTCATCAGAGAATCAAAGCGTTCTTCATCTGATCGGGCATCAACTAGTGAACATTGACCAAAGTGTCACAAGCCAACGAATGGCACAATGACAAAACTACAATAATTTAGGCTTCAAATTGAAACCAAGTCCACCTTATCCACCAGATACTGGCAATTTGGAGATTTAAAATATGATCACAGACAAGATCTCTCTGTAAGCGCGTATAAAGTGGTTTTCGCTGAAATATTTCATGGCAAAAGTTAAATCGTTCTAGAAATTGTTTCGAAAACTAGGATGGCTCTAAAATTAAAGTGCCACTATCCCTGGAGATTATATATATATAATTGGCGCTTTGTAACCGCTGAAGCGATTTTCGGTCTAGTTCCAATTAGTGGTTTTGCATAATGATTTTCTTCCAACAAATGCGAGGACCCAGAGTTTATACTAAGCCGTGTCCGAACGGGTGATAGTTTTTTATGATGAGCTTTATTTCATGTCATAAATACAGTCGAAAGGGGTTGACGTTCCCTGCGGAGGGACAAACAATTAGAAAAAAATAACTTAACTTTTTATTTAAACTAATTTTCTACAACTTTGGGAATTTGTTCGTACCAGGATGGTAACCAACGTCACCCTTTGGACCAATCACGTCGAAACAGCTCGTTTATTGGGCCTCCCATTAGATGACCTCGGCGAATTAGATTAATCAAACCTGTGCCTAATCGGGGTTGGCGAACCGATACAACAACAACAGCAACAACAATGCTAACAAAGAGGATACGGATACATTGACAAATAAAACCAACTTTTCATAAAAAAAAATATGCGTTGTCTCTGTTAGGCCCGGAACTTTTGAGAACATGTTTTAAGCTTGAAAGTAGACATCACTCTAGCTTAGTCTTCCTTGATTTTATTCTTGATTTAACATAAAATAGGTAGTGCCTAAATATTGTAAGTAATATCATTATATTCATAGCCCAAGCATTTGAGCTTTTAACCTCCAAAAATTGATTAAGATTAATAATAGAAAGGGGAGGAACATCATTTTGTAGTGTCTAAAGGAAACAAATACTGAGTAAAGTCTCCTCAGTAAGGTTAGGGTCTTCAAAAACAAAAATCTATCACCCTTATTATGGACATTCCGTTATAATAAATCTAAATAAATAATTTACACTTATCCTTGGTTCTTACAGGCAAAATGCGCCCCTATTTAAGAGGTAGTTACTGCAATAATTTGACTTTCGAACCACACTATTATAGAAATATAAATGCATAAATAAAATTAGCAAAGCAAAATAAAAACGATGGCTTTTGTTATTTGCATAAGGACCCTCCCTTATTGCTGGAAGCCCTCCATTATGTGTGAAAATAAATTAAAATCGTAAATACTCGTATACACAACAATGCATACACATTTGCATAAGTATTTTACACATTGCTCAATAAACAAAACGACGCATTATTATGAGTGCATACAAATGAGTGTGATGTGAAGTGAGTACTTACGATATCCAAAGCGTTAAGTGTTGTATCGTCACGACTAGCAGCTAAACAACCGTCTTCTAAACCACCATCACACATTCCTGAAAAGCAAAAAATTAAAATTTAAAAAAATATAATTAAAAATAAAGGTATTCAAACATGAGCAAAAGCTAAACAACTTTCTCACCTTGAAATGCAGCCATAGAGCGCGCTGCACGCAGAAACATTAACAAATCGCCATCGGCCACAATGCCAGGATTCCATCTTGGTACTTCTAATTCGCGTTCGTCGCTCTCTTTGTCAACGGGGAAGCTTGAAATTGGATTATAATCGGGCAATTTTGCCTTTTTGTGTCCATAAAACAATTTCGCAATTAGTATAACTTATTTGCATTATTAAGTGTTAATTAATATTTGCTTTTTGCACTTTTCAACTAAGTGATTATATATATATATTTTTTTTATTTATGAGAATTTTATTTAAATTTTTATTTTTTATTACTACATTAGATGTTTCATTAAGTTTGCTTTTTTCCTTATTATTTATTTAATTGTTTATTATTTATTTAAAAATTACTATATTTTATTATATAATTATCTTATTTACACAACAGCAACAACAAAAAAGCCTCTACCTACTACTATTAGTTACAGTATCTTAATGAATACCATTTAAGATTCACTCTTATGTACATACATACATACATACAAATATACAGAGAAAATGATGTAGTTGAAATGTACGATTAATGTTTCGGTTGGATAAGGATTGGTTGTGAATTGGATGGGGTTGTAACTCAAAATCATATTATTTGAACCCATTCGCTATTATAAACAAGCAAACAAACGCTCGAGTATGTGCCAGCATCAACGGCTGTCGTTTTATGTTACAAGCGAACGGGTTAAGTGACTTTATTATCGTATTAATTGTCAATTATTGTAAGCCAATTATAGGGGCAAATAATACTATGCATATTATGCTTAAGATGATGTTGTTGATGATGATTTATGGAAAATGAATGAGTTCTGAATGATTTAAATAAAATGTCAATGTCTTATTTGCAAGAATATAAAATAAAAACAAGTACAAAAAATAAAAATAAGTAAATTAAAGCGTAAAAAAAAATAAAAAATATATAACAAGTGTCAAAAAATATATAAAAGTACAAAAACCATAAAAAAATATATATATGTATATATATATAAAATTTAAATAAATATAAAAAATATAAAATTTATGAAATTTATAAAAAAAAATTATAAAAAAAAAAAAATTATAAAAAAAATAAAAAATTATAAAAAAAAAATAAAAAAAAGATAAAAAGATAAAGAAATACAAAAATTATATAAACAAAACTATACAAAGAGTATAAAAAATATAAAATAAAAAACATTTAAAAAATATTTAAATAAATAAAATAAAATAAAGAAATTATATTATTAAAAAATACAAAAATTAATAAAAGTAAAAACAAAAATATTCTAAAGCAACATTAGTAGCAAATAATAAACAAAATAAAAAGAAATAAAAATATACAGTAAATAAGAAATGAAAATAAATAAATAAATATGTAAAATAATGGTAAGTAAATAAAACACAATAAAATATAAACAAAGAATCGAAAAATATAAAAAAATAAAAAGAGAATAAAAAATTAAGATAAAAATTTTAAGCAAAAAAAACTTAAAATAAAAAAATTAAAAATAAGAACCTAAACAAAAAGAATAAGATACATAAAATAAATAAGAATAAAATGTACAATATAACAATATTAAATTAAAAATTAAAGAAATTAAGCATAAAATATTAAAAGTAAACAAAAAAAATAACCACAAAACTAAAATTAAAATGAAAACAAAACAAAATTTAAATTAATAAAAAATAATCAAATACTAATCAAAAATATAGAAACAAATAAAAAAATATAAAACAAGCGAGTTGAATATAAATAAAATAAAAATTAAAAATGGAATACTATAAAAAAATTACTACTTATTAAAATAAATAAAATATATATGTATAAAGAAAATAAATTAAAGTATATAATTATTAAAACAAAAGATCAAAAAATAAAACAGACGAATTTAACACTAAAAAGAATGAGAATAGAATAAAATGAAATACTAAAAAAATATAAAACAAATAATTTATACTTATTCAAAAAAGTAATATTAAAATAAAGGATAGAATAAAATAAAATATATATAAAAAGAGTAAATAATTATTAAAATTAACTAAAAAAAAAATTAAATCAAAAGAAAATAAAATTCATAGAATATAAATGTAAAATAAAAAAAATTAAAACTCATAAAATATATAAAATAAATAAAACAAACGAAATTGAAATAACTAAAGTATAAAAAAGATTTGTAGTTTTAAAAATATAAATAAAAATGCAAACAAAAACCGAGAAATTATTATTTCCAACCCAGTTTCGTTTAACTATCGATTATTTTTGAAAATACACTAACAACAACATGCTTTAAAGCAAATTATATGTTATTATATAAAAACACTCAACGTATTTGATCAATATTGAAGGAATAATAAACTTTTTATTAAAATACATTGACAGCGTGGTGAACAAGTAGTTCATTTATATTTTAATTTTGATGAAATTTAAATGGACAAGACAAGACAGCAATTTGTTTTAATTAAATGTTAGCTTTCTAGTCTCTTTTTAGTATCTTTAAGCAGAAAACAACTTAATTTTGCTTACTAATGGGGCCTTTGGAAAGATTTCTATGCCATGGATCAAACATATACTCGGATTCTAACTAAGTCCACCGATTCTAATAATTTCCGAGATTTGACATGAATTTTTTATTCTGAAATTGAGCTGTTTAAATGATCACGTGTAAGAGAGAATGAGAAAGAAGCTCGTTTTTTGATAAACTTACTTTCTCCTCTACAAGAGTATGATTTGATTTTGAAAAAATTTAATTTATTGTATATAAATATGCACTAAAGTAAGCGCCTAGGACCTATCTAGTTCATACATATGTCGAGCATGTGTCACTACCCTGAGCAAAAAAAATGTTCCGTTTCAAAATTTACTAGCTAGGTGCCGCTGCGGTCGATATGTTCCGTTACTCTAATTTTAACACCGTTGGTGGCGTGGGGTTGAGATGTTTCCAAAAAAAATTAACACTCAAAAATGTATAGGCATAAAGATAAAGAGATAAAAATGTGTACAGAGAAGAAAAAGCAAGCTACCACCTGTTAAAAATATTTTTGAAATTAAATTAATATAAAAATATATATATTATCAAACTGAAAGAGCTTAGATTGCTTGAAAAAGTGGAAGAGTTGCCATTTATTACAAAAGAGAAGTTAATTGAATTATGGTCTACTGTAGAAAGAGTTTATAATAGAAAACATTTTTGAAAAAAAAAAATGTTTACTTATTATGAAATTTTTATTTTATATGGATCATAAAGAAAATCGCATATTAGAATAGAGGTATTACGACAAAACTTGTTAATCTGGTAATTCGTTAGTTTTTACATCATTAAAACACTTAACTGTGAACAGATTTTTTGCTCTACCTCGTTAGTGTGTTAAATTTTGTTCCAAATCAATTTTATTAAGAGTTAAAATGCCGGAGAGAGATTGCAAAATCAAAAACTGTCCAAAATTTAATCAAGCAAAAGAAAATAAATAACGAAAAAACTATCAACCTCGACAGACTGATACCTTGACACTCGGACTCAGAACGAGAATTCGACAATTTTATAAAAACAAAATGCACGTAAAAAACTAACGAATAACGACCAACGAATTAACAAAGCCGGTCGAAATACCTCTAATACAACAGTGAAAATGTGGCTTTATTAATGTAAATTTTTTTCTAAGATTTTCTAGAACTCAACCATATTCAATTCGATTTTTCACTTCAATAGAACAATACATATTTTTCGCATAGGAGAAGATTTATGTTCAATCAAGTTTTAAATGTTAAAATAAATGTGAAAATTACTAAATAAATGCTTTAAATGCTATTTTTTATTTGAACGGTGTCAAAATTTAGGTTTCATCAATTTGGCAAAAGAAAGGTAAATAAAAATAAAGTATAATAAAACTAAGTCGTAAATTCACTTGTTATAAATTACTTTTAAAGCAAATTCCAAATCAAATTAGACGGCGATAAGAGTGCGGTTGCGTTGTAAAATCTATTTTAATCTAAATTTAATAATCCAATTAATTACTTTATTCACTGGCACAGCTAAACTATAGAGCAATAAGCTCCTTTGTAAGCAAACAAACATTCGATACAAACATACATGCTTGCACACTCTACTACAACAACTAAGTGACATGGCGTTAAAACCAGCAAAATACCGACAATTAAGTTTCAATTAACCCATATTTGTCTCGTCGGCCAAGTATTTACGTACGCTATTAATTACAAATGTATTTATTTAAATATCTAAAAACCGCCACTAAATGCGATTATACGCTTAGTGCTAATTACACAGTTATAATACATATAAACACTTACATACATACATATACATAATTCAATCATAATGAAAAACACTACAACAAAGCGCAAAAACGAGAAAAATATGAAATAAAAACCACAAAATAATAAAATAATAACAACAACCAAAAATGTACAAGCTCGCCACAAAACAACTAAGCATACATACATACATAGATACAACGGCTACATACAGACAAATAAAGATACAAATAATTATGTACGACCATAATATGCTACAACTTGTCAGCCATGTCAACAGACAGCAAATTAAAATGTGAAAATCTGAATTATTATAAGTAGAAATACATGTACACACATATATAAATATGTACATACAAATCGACGTCAAGTAGCAGCAACAATAATAAGTACAACAAACCTATCTATACTGAAATCAACTTTTACTTGTTAAGCCAAAAAATAAAAAAAAAATAAAATGAAAAAATACAACAAAAAAATGTACACTAATAAAAATATCAAAAACAAAATTAACTAAGATTATGACTAGTAGTGCATGAATTTTGTGATATGATTATGATCATGATTACGATTACGATTGCGAATTGAATTCGTTTTGATTATTGACTGGTTTTCGTTTTGGTTTGATGAAAATTTTGAATTTGCAAAAAATAGACTTGTTACCGTGAGATTTTTGTGAGTTATGTACGTACATAGACATCGTTTACCTGGTGGCCGGGACCCACTCGAATTTCTCCCTGAGTGGAGGCCGCCATTACCCTTTAAAGACACGCTTCCGGTCCAGTGTTAAGCTTTTTATTGCCCTCTATGATGATTAAATATGTAAACTGTAAGATAGAGAAAAATTAAAATAAAAATTTAATTAGTTTTAAAATAAAGAAGATATAAAGGTATTTATAAATATATACATTTATTAGTATATTGTATATTTTTGCAGAATAGTGCAAGTAAGGGTAATCTGTACTGTGAATATATCTTCTAGAAATGCACAATTGGTGAAAAGGATATTGATGAAACAATTTTATACAATAAAAAGCATATTCATGGTGCCTTTTTAATAGCAGGTGTACAACTTTGCTTCCGCCGTTTTCCGATAGGTGGCTGTACCGGCTGAGGCTGGTTGAAATACATAGATGATAATGCCTTTAAAGTGAGTGTGGACGGTGTCTAACGAATTTTCATCGCCGTTTCAGTGACAGTTGTTCTTGTTTTCGTATTATTCACGCTCGAAAAGGTCCGTTTATGTGCCTAATTCTCGCCATTTGCGGGAAGTTTTACTTTTCTGTTACAATTCGAGAAAAAATGCAGCTGAAGGGCATCGAATGCTCTCAGAAACTATCAGCGTAAGTTGCTCTGAGTGAAAGATTAGTTTCAATGTTTTAAAAATTGTGATTTCGATGTCGAAGACAAACATGATGGTGAAAGAGAAAAAACCTTCAATGAACAACTAGAAGCATTGCTTGATGAATATTCCTGCCGAACCCATCACAGAAGATCGGTACCGAACGCAAATGATGCGCCTTAGTCGCGCGCTAAAAGAAAAGCGGCCACAATATCAAGAGCGACATGACAAAGTCATCCTCCAACACGACAATGCTCGTCCTCACGTCGCAAAAGTGGTCAAAAAGTACCTAGAAACGCCTCACCCGCCGTATTCCCCAGATGCTTCTGACTTTTACCTGTACCGTCCGATGCCACACGGGCTGGCAGATCAGCGTTTTCAATCCTTCGGAGAATTGGAAAAATGGATCGCTTCATGGATAGCGTCAAAAGAACAGGGATCCGAAAATTGCCGCAAAGAAGGGAGAAAGTTGTCCCTAGCGAAGGACAATACTTTGAATAATATATCTGTAAGCACTTTTTCGCAATAAAGCTTTTAATTTTGGAAAAAAAAAAAGGCCGAAGCAAAGTTGTGCACCTGATGAAATAAAAATTAATACTGTTTTTTAACGAATTTTTTTGATAACTTTATTTCTTTCGTTTTTATTTTTATATTTACTTTTTATGGGTTTTGGTTTTATTCATTTTATTTTTATTATTGATTTTTTGAATATTATATATTTTTATTTCTTATTTTCTAATTTGTTCGTTTAATTTTTATTCATTTTCTTATTTTATATTTCTATTTAATTTTATATTTATGAATTTAATATTTTGTTATGTATTTTATATACTTTTTACATTTCATACTTCTTAATTAATCACATATTTTATAAGTTTTATCACTTCTTCATTTATTTCTAATTTTTTTTTTTGCTAATTTATGTTTCTGTTGCCAAATTTTTTCGTTTATGTTTCCTACATTTTTTATATTTCTTCTTCTATAAATTTTCTATATATTTTCCACACATTTTGATAATGTTCACATCGTATATTTTAGATTTTTTTATTTTATTTTATTTTATACTATTATCATTATTTTATATTATTAATATTGTTATTTTATATTATTATTATTTTATACTATTAATATTAATTTTTATTATTATTATTTATAAGTATTTATATATTTTTTACTTTTCGTTATTCATCGTTGCTTAATTTCTCAAAAGGCAACGACTGCTCCTCATATTGAAGGGCTCACTAACGCATTTATGTACATATGTTCTAATGTAAATATATTTGCAATGTGATATGAGTAAATTGGCAGGTATCATTACAATGCATAACACAGTTGAAGGGTCTCCATCGAGTGCAACAAACATCAATGCAAAGGATGAACAATTAAATTCACTGCAATTGACAGGCAACTCAAAAATATGTTTCACATGTGGTGCATACAAAGCATATAAGAATTAAAGGAGAAAAAATATGTGTGCATGTACATATGTAAATATATCAAACCCCATGGGTGAAAGGGGGGGAAATGATAGTAAAGTGAAAAATTTCAAAAATTGGTGAGCTGAAGGATAATTATAACAAAAGCCACAAAAGCATGGAATTAATTTAAACAATATAATGAAATATTAACAAGTATATATTATAAATAATAGTGGATTTATTTTTCCAAAAAAAAAAAAATGAAAAAATTTGATTTAACTGTATTATTGTACATTAAATAAAAAATTAATCAAAATAATATAAAATAAATTAAAATAATATAGAATATAAAAAACATAAAAAAAATAAAAATTATTATTAATAAATAAAAGAAACCAACACAACTGGCAAAAGAGAAAGGGAAGCGGCAAACAACGATACCACCCAAGCACTATAAAAATATGACCTAATCTCGATCAATGCAATTTCCCTAAAGGGAATAAAAGGGCGAAACACACACGCACATGTAAACTAATCAAAAAAGCAAGGTATTTGAGCGCACGAAATATGAGACGAATCGGATACCAAGCGAGACAAGGAAAAATTTGTAAAAAAAAAAAAACACTAAATTCCAAAGAGAAAACCAGCCAGAGGGCAAAAAACACAACACATATGAAAATACTCGTTTATGTAGAGATGGCACGTAATCCAACAACAACACAGATGAATCCCTACCTAAAGGGAATGTTCAACAATCGGTGGTACATGAGGCACAATGAGGCGTAAATGGTTTATTTGTAATCAAATTAACACAACACAACATGCATACTTAAAATAAAATGCGAAACAACAACAACAATGAAAGATTATTTAGTGGAATGCATCATTTCATTGTACTTCGCTTCAGTGAAATTCGTTTTGCTTACATACATACATACAGTGATAGACACACACACACACGCACACACACACACACGCACACACACACACACACACACACACACGCACACACACACACACACACACACATAGTACAACCTCAGCACTCGTATGTATTCATATCCTTGTTGTTGGGAACCTTTCTTAGCTTACGACAAAAGGACGATTGCTGTATTTGAGCAGCTGTAAAATGATTTTCCACTTTGTTGATTTATATGCACATACATATATGTATGTACATACACGTATGTGCAAATACATTTGTATGAGTGTGAGTGAGTAAATGGAAACAGCCAACAGAAGGTGAAGCAATAATGATGACAACAACTACAGCAACAGCAACAGCAACAGCAGCTATGATAATAACAACAACAAACCAGTATCCCGAAATCAAGGATAATAACAGAAATAACGGCAGTAATAAAGCGTCAAATCCACTTACAGCATCAACAATCGAAAAGCTGAATAAAGCAAAGGTACGCAGCAGTAATGGCTGTAGCAAACGATAAAGCGTACAAACAGTAAAAGCAGCAACAAATACCTATGTGTGTATGTACATACATCAAAGATTACAAAAAACACAGCACTGTAAACACATTTTGGCAATAAATCAACTTCAATAAATCAATAACGAAACACTCAATTACAATTTCAATTGCCCAATGACGATGTCGACAGCGATAATGTCCGATTGGTGGTGAAGGCGATGGCGATGGTGTCGTTGGTGACTAAGATGGTGTTGGTGGTGTCGTACGGTGTCGCCTTTTAGAGTGTTGGTTGGGTTGTTAGTCGGACTGATTGACGTTGACTTTACTTATATATTTAAGCCAGCTCTCATTGCTGCTCACGGGTATCAAAGTTTTGTTATTGTGACTAAATTTCTGCGATTCAAATTACCATACATTAAAAAGAAATTAAAGTCGTAACATCCCTTCGTTTTTCAACTACAACAAAGCTTATATTGACGGAGAAACCGTTGTAATATGAGAAACAAAATAACTTAGAAATTTCACTTGGCACAAAAAAAAATAAAAAAAAAAAATAAAAATAAAAAATTAAAAGTAATAAGAACAAAAAAAAACTATAAAACTAAGAATAAAAACTAAAAAAAAAAAATAAGTAATAAAAACAAAACCAAATAAATAAGTAATAGAAACAAAAAATAAATAAAAATATAATAATAATAAAACTATAATAAAAATCAATATATAAAAATAAAAAAACAATAATAATAAAATAATAATAAAAATAATAAAAATAATAATAATAATAATAATAATAATAATAATAATAATAATAATAATAATAATAATAATAATAATAATAATAATAATAATAATTATAATAATAAAAAAATAATAATAAGATAATAATAATAAAATAATAATAATAAAATAATAATAATAAAATAATAATAAAAAAATAATAATAAAAAAATAATACCAATAAACTATATATATATATTAATGATAAAAAAATATATAATAAAAACAAAAATAAGGTAAAGAAACATTTAATATAAAAAAAAAATTAATAAAAATTATAAAAATAAAAAACAATAAAATACAAAAAATTAATTAATTTAAATTGAACAAACAAACAATTGAACAAATAAACTATAACAAACAATTAAGTAAATATATTTTATGAACTAATTAATTTATTAAATAAAAAAATAGTAAAAAAATAGAATTAACGAACCAAAAATATCACAAAAAAATAAATTAAAATATATTAAAATAAATTTAAAAGATTCGCATAAAATAAGAATAAAACACAAAAACGAAGCAAATTAGAAATCAAATGTATAAAAAAATCATAATCAATAAAAAAAAAAGAAGAACCTTAAGTAATAAGCAAATTTATATCAAACAAATAAACATATTTTAAGTAAAAAAGAATAAAATAAATTGAAATTAATTAAACGAAATAAAAATTAGTATAACACCAAAAACAACAAAAAAAATAAATAAAATAAGAGAGACCGTGGTAGCCGAGTGGTTAGCATGGCATTCTGCCATTCGTAAGGCCAAGGTTTAAATCCTGGCACGATGATTATTCAAGAGATATAGAAAATTAATTTAAATAATAAAGTTGGATACGTTTTCTAATTGCGGTCGCAGCTCGG